TGGAGGAATCTCGAAGCGGCGACCGCGATTTTCCCCCGCTTTCGTTGCCAATATGTCGCTTTCTCCGCTGATGATCAACGCCTGGGATTGCCATTGAAAGGCGATGGTAATTGAATTTAAAAAAAAAAAAGTACCAAAAAACGTACCGGACCAAGGACCGCTGTGAATGGTCAAATTTTGACCTTGGATTCAAGAGACCTTTGTTAAATGCAATTTTTAAATTTGATTGAATAAAATCCTGGAGTTTGCAGGAAACTCAAAACGATCTTTTTTTTTCATACATTTGACCTTGCAAAGTCACTCTTTGTGCCCTTGGGAAGATACCTGCAAGAATTCGTAAGGACAGTCGATCCTTTCCGCAGAAATAGCAGGGAATCTCGATGGAGGATGTCCTTTAGGGACGCTGCAGTCAGCCGCCACGCGACCCTCGATCGAGAGGGATGCCCCGCGCGTGTCGCCCTCTCGCCGTGCGTGCGCAGTGCACGCTCCATCGATTCAACGCCGCCCGTTATTATTGTCGGAATTAGCCAGTGCCGGGTGAAATGACGGGGCCTTGAAATGGTTTCACCCTCGTGAGTTTTCACCCTCGTGGAAGATGAATGAGATAACCACACCTCTCCACCCCATTGCCCCCTTGCCCCCTTGCACCATGCCTTGTCTTGGTAGCTCCGGTCGGCATCGGTCACGCATGGTTTATCAAGGGTCGCGATGAGTCACTTTGTGCCAATAGGTAAAAGTTGGTCAATGTTTCAATATAAGTAAACTTGAATCATACTATTATAGTTAGACCTAAGTTAGGTGAACCACACAATTCGAGTCACTCGGTATCCCTCAAGGCCAGTAGCACCAGATTTTGGGATTAAGGGAACCGTGGAGTTTCAGAATTACCTCGTTAATTCCGGACAAAATAGGCTGGAAATAATGCGCATGTTATTTCCTTGTAATTTCTGACTTTCGTTACACACCCAATACAAGTGGAAGTTTCTACAAGCCATGCAACTAAGTTTATCTCGAGATGATCGTTACAGATACGGGATTGAAACCGATCGGAAGCCTTCGGCCAGGTCGCCCATACGCAACTCCTATTTCTCTGCGGGATCCCCGTCACGTTCCACGCATTTTTTCCCGGAGTTTAACGCGGGCTTCGAATCCTGCAAGATCGCACTCTGCTGGCCGTGCCTTCAGCCGCTCCTGAATGGCACGTTTCAAGGAATGCCTCCATCATAGTTTCACCGCGATCGCATCCATCAGATGAGAAATCCTTTCCCATCCGCCTCGCTGTCCCGACCAAGTGACATCCACCGCCACTTCCACCTCCTCGGCTCTGTGGAGTCCTCCTCCATGGATGAGCAGAGGGGAAGAGTCCCCGAGTCCCCCTCCATGGATGAGCAGAGGGGAAGAGTCCCCGAGTCCCTTCCTTCCTTCCTTCCTTCTCTATGTAGATGTAGTCTATGGAGATCTGAGACTTTGCTTCTCCCTCGCTAATTTACCATCTATAAGAACACGCAACCTTCTTGATTACCATCCGACCACATCGGGTCTGATCCCCATATGTAGCGAGGCGTTCGTGCCCCGTATCTTGTGACCCCCTGGGGTTCGCTACACTTTCTTGCACGAGTCGTCTGAAAAGTTTTCTCCGCTCCGGAATCCCTAGTCGAACGCCGCGAAGCTGAAGATCTTCCATTATGCTTTTCCGTCGAATTTCTTGACGGAGTTTCGCCGTCCAGAATCGAATTTCTGGACGGCGTCAGAGTTGCTGGGATGATAATTTCCCGCGATGCTTTCCCACTCCAGTCGCATTAATCAACTTCAAATTGTGAAGAAAACACAGTCGACTTGTGGTCACCTTGTATATTCAGGAATCAATCCATCTTCTTCACATTGATTGTCACGGTCAACTACGGCGACATGAAGGAAAAAATCACAAAAAGTGATCACGTCCACAGGAAAACATTATTGTTCTTCGTGAATGCGTGATGAAATTCACTATGCCATTCGTACTATTTGACAGACACGACGGGAAACTGAGCACCCGCGAAGCTCGCACATTGGAAAAGCCACCACAAGATCCTGTGAACGAACGACGAGGTAACTAAAGAGCAAAAAATCACGTGGACATTCATTAGCCCACGGGACGGACAGAAGTGGTGCAAGAGACCGAAGAGAGATCGCGTAAGAACTCGGGCCGAGTCCACAGCAGGCGACTCTGCATGCACATTGCAATCAAGCATAGCTTTACGTGGGATATAGCAAATGTCCCACAAAATGGATTAACCGAGTAACGTCCGTACGTAAAGTTCCTCTCTCCAAAAAGATATCGACTTTGTCGTCAGCACTCAAGTGCAGGAGAATGGACTGACCTGGCATTTGGTCGCTGCCTTCATTATTATCATCAGAATACATTCTCGCTTTGATGACTCCGTTTTTTCTGAGCTGCAATATTGAACGAGTGCTGAACACCCAAAAATGAAGATGAAAAACATAAATACCGTCAAGTGGTGCAGTGAAAATGCCGCTGCTCGCTTCCATTGCATTGCCTGTGTTCACCTCTGTTCCCTCGAAAAGAACGATGACGTCATTACCAGTTTGCTCGATATCTTTGTAAGCATCGAAATAGATCGGTTGTTCCGCAAGACGAGCTCCGGTCACCACCTGGAATTGTGGATCTGTCTCTTCCAAATCCATCCTACAAAGGACTACATCCAAACGACCCGCTTTGCTTCTGATCAGGTAATAACCCGAACGAACGTGTCCTAAATTTCGCAGAGACGAACACGACTCCGCCGGATCGTCCGGCATCGGAGCCTCGCCCCTGCAAGCCAATCCACCCAGAGTGTGATTCGCCCTCTGGCCGTCGAAGCGCAGTCCCCCGAATCGCACCTCCGCGATGGGCAGTGCCGTCGCGTTGTCGATCGCCCCCACATCGGATTCCCACTGAGGCGCCTCCGCATCGCAGTTGCAGGGCAGATCCGGATCGACGCACGTGTCGGAGACGCCGCAGTCGCAAATGTGCTCGCCTGCGTGCGATCCGTCCCAGTAGTACTGAGGGTCGCCGTGGCGGTCCACCCACCATGCGTACTGAACGTCCAGAGAGTTAAGGGCCGACGAAAAACAGCCGTACTGAAAGGATAAGCACGTGTAATCTTTACTAAATCAGAATTTATGACGCCCTTACGTCGCAGATTTACTTACATGGAAAAGCAACATTCGATGGAAGGTTTTTCCATTTGTCAGCTGACTTTTTTTTTCTCTTGTCAAATATATTCTATATTTTCGTCTCGTTACCAAAATACTCGGAAGAATGCACCGACTCACTGCAATTTGTTGCTCGCAATACTCCGATTGATCGATCAGCGCCGCCATCTGCCTCAGCGATGCATCGTACTTAATGATGCGACTGTAGCAGCCAGGTTCATCACAGTGTTCAATTTCCGTAGTCTCCATCGAATCATGCAGAATGACAGTGGTTACCGGATCTGAAGAAAAAAAATTACGAGTTCATCAAAAGGGGCACAAGAAACACTAGAGACATTTGCACCCTCTTCAAGCCTGGGATTTCCCCTTTTCGATTTAGCTGTAACTACCTGTCTGCATGTCGCAGAACACACGGATGGGAGGATCGCCGATGAGAGCGCCATCTGGGTCCACGAGGTAGGTGCCCGTCCGGGTCACTCCAAGGTCCCCAAGAGTTCCACATGTTCGGGGTGCTGGTACATAATTATTATAAAGGTTCATATACCCAGCGAAAGGAATGAATAACGCAGCGCCCAAATGAGGAACTCACTGATTTGCAATGTGATTGCCTCTAGGTATTCCAGTCTCTCTTCCATGGTGCTTTGTTGAACCTTCATCTCTGTATCTGTCGAAAGGAAACAATTTTCTAAATATATATGCAGCATAGGTACTGTACATTTACGTCTACTAAATACAGGGTGTTCCAAAAGTCCGGATTCATTGGAAGATTTCAATATTTCTATTTTATTTAGTTAAATATTCAAATTTTAAGCTGCATGACATTATCTTGCATATATATATTAATTTTAGCACATATTCCCCTCTGAATATTTATTAGTATCTCTGTACTAATTTTGGCGCACTCATTCATTGAAAATTGTAATTCTTAGAAAAAACCAAGAGTAAGGACTCTTTCATATACCCTGTCTACATTAAGTTTTCAATTTTCAGTATATATTCTATACTTTTAAGCTGCACCCTCATGATTCACATGGGTATTTCAATTTTCAGGAGCTTCTTTTTTAATTCAAAACGTTTCTTAACTGAAAGAACTACGCATTTGAGATGCAAATTAAGATACAAAAATTATTCACGCATTTTCCATGCCTGAAGTCTTGGCAGCAACTCCTCGCAGAGACAAACAAGGCAAACCAGCCGCTCCCTTGAATTTCTGCTGAATTTAACTGGAAGTCGCATTCATACCTTCTTTTGGGAGCGTCACCCCTCCCACCTGATGAAAATTTACATGATGATTACGAAAGCTTTTAAATTGGGTTTCTGGATGGGGCTGACGATGCTCCAAGGGGGGTTTTGTGGTTCAAGCAAATTATTAAAAAATTATATCGTTTCCAGTTTAATATAAATCTGAAGTTATTATCATTTTCAAAATAATTGTTTCAGTATTTTCCTCTTCAAATGTATGAATATGGAGTTTTTTTGCTCACCTCTGCTCTTGCTCTTTTGCAGTTGCTTTTGCAACTGAATCCTAAGGATTTCATCTTCAGCCTTCAATCGAGCGATGTCATCGGCAAGCTCATCATCGTTTGCTGTCACGTGCGCCTTCAGGTCTTTAATGCCAAGCTTAAGGTTTTCGTTGTCAAACTTCAGGTTTTCATTGTCGAGCCTCAGTTGAGTGATGTCACTTGCGAGCTGGTGATATTTTAACGTTAAATCTGAAATCATATTCACCAAGTGGCCGAGACTCCTCACGGCAGTGACTGAATCAAACGCGAGTTTCTGGAGAAAAAAAATGCACGGAGGTTAAATGCAATTAAAAGTATGCTTCTCATGCAATAAAGAAAAAAGTCAAATTAGTCCAAAGCCGAGTTCCCCCCATCTCCTAGCAACAAGTAACAACGTTATGAAATCCACAGTATTCCTTATCCTTACTTCTCCATAGCCGTATTCGGTGAACCCGATGAGTGCAAGCCACAAGAGACTCGGGATGCCCTTCATGATGGTCCTCTGATTTTTCGGAATTGCTTTCCCGCCCCTGGAATGACGACGGGAGAGAAGACACGCATTGAGAGAAGATAAAAATTGAGGAAGGACTGCATCGATAATCCAGGACTGCCGCAACATACATTCAATGAATGCGATAAAGTAAACGTCAGGAAAGAATCATGCACTAAGTAACTGCAACCGACAGAAGCCATCATATGGAATTGGGATCCACTTACGTTTGAAGGTGATTGCTGGGCGCTCGAATGTGGCCGGATTCACCTCCCATATTACCTTGGATGGCTTTAAATATCGAGACGGTTCCTGGGAAGACCCCCATACGCCCGGAAAACACCCGGATGTACCTAGAGTTATCTTACATATTTCCAAGGAAGCCCTACGTAAGAGGATTGAGAACACCTGCTTATTCCTCTGGGAATTATTATTATTTTCATCACTGATTGTGAAACGCGGATTTGTTGCCAAGCCTACTTCTGTGTTAAAGATAAGAGAAAACCAGGGCAGGAGTGTTTCCTCATTGAAACAAATGGGAAATATATTAATGCCTTTACCCAGTCGATAAACGGAATAAGGAGGGAGAAAGAAGGCTTTATTGGCAACAGATACAGGGTACAGAGGGTACACCCTGTACTCGTGGCTTTATAGGGTGTGTCAGGTTGCTCGGGAATCTGGAACGGCACCTACGGATTGGCAAGCCGTAGGATTGGTGGTTCCTCTTTTTAAGAAGGGGGACTCGAGGGAGTTCACGAACTATTGTGGCATCACTCTCCTCAGCATACCTGGTAAAGTCTATTCCAAGGTGCTGGAAAAGAGCACTCGGACAGTCGTGGGTGATGACATCTAAGAGGAGCAGTGCGGCTTTCGTTCGTGGCGCAGTACTACGGACCAGCTGTTCACTCTCCACCAGATCCTCGAGAGACATCGGGAGTATGCCAAAGATGTCTACATGTGCTTTGTGGACCTCGAAAAAAACTTACGACCGTGCACCTCGAGGAAAACTGTGGGGAGTGCTGGGATCAGGGGTCAGCTATTGCGGGTCGTTCAGTCCCATTACAGCGATTGCAGAAGCTGTGTCCGAGTGAGCGGGAGGAGTGAGGATTGTTTTCTCTTACGCGCTGGACTCCGGCAGGGTTGTGTCCTCTCACCTTTCCTGTTCCTCGTGTATGATACATGGACGGGATCTGTAGGCGCAGCCTCGGCCCGGAGGGGGTCGACATCGGTGATGTCAGGGTAAGGATACTTCTCTTTGCTGACGATGCCGTACTTTTGACCCGCTCTCGACAGGAGCTCCAGAGCGTGCTCGATCGGTTCGACTCCGAATGCACTGCGGCCGGAATGAAACCGAGCGTCTCCAAGACACAGGTCATGGTCCTCTCGAGAAATCCTGCTCGGTGCACCCTGCATGTCGGTGGGATCCCACTGGAACAGGTGGAGAAGTTCAAGTATCTCGAGGTCTGGTTCTCGAGTGACGGGCGATACGGAAACGAGATCGACAACTGCATCTCCAAGGCTTCTGCAGTTCTGCGGGAACTTTGGCGAATCGTGGTTACCGGATCGGAAGTTTCTTGGGAAGCAAAACTCTCGGTTTTTAAAAGTGTTTATCTCCCCATCCTCACCTATGGTCATGAACTTCGGGTAATGACGGAAAGCACCAGATCGTGGATGTAAGCTGCCGAAATGAGATTCTTGCGTCGAGTGGCTGGCGTAACGCGCCGTGATCGGATGCGGAACTCTGCCATCCGCGAGAGTCTCCAGGTCAAGCAGCTGCTTCTCCGTATCGACGTATCGAGAAGTCTCAGGCAAGGTGGTTTGGACACGTCTGCCGCATGTCCCCTGAGAGGCTCCCAAGAGGAATCTTCCAGGCCTAGATGACCGGCAAAAGACCTGTCGGTAAACCTCGTACAAGGTAGAGTGATTACGTCGTTCGGTTTTGTCACGATAGGCTCAGCATCCCATCAGCTGAACTTGAGTCTATTGCCCAGGATCGAGATCACTGGAGGGCGCTCCTGGGGATGCTCGAACCACAACCCCATTAAATTGGGAAAAGAGGCCTAGATAATGTATGTATGGTCCCCTTTCGCTCTTCCAGGAGTAATTTGAAGCTATCAAATTTCCCCTCTTTACTTTCGCCCCAACCAATTCTTTCTTCCGAACCTCTCTGCAGGTCTCCAACGTGTGCAGTGATAGCTCCCAAGGAGGCGAAAGTAACTCGTTTTCGCCTCGTAATACTCGGCCTTACATTGCCATGTGTACGAACTAATGGTTTGATTGCTGAAGAAGTCGCTTCGGCTATGATGAGGCGAGCATTATCAAGATGACGGATACTAATTGATGAACTGGCCGTCCATGATATTCTTCATCCGGGCATGAACAGTCTGAAAGCTCTAAATATCTCTGACGTAGACGTGTTCCCAGACTGTGAATTATCGGCATATTTTCCTTCCTTCGGAAAAGTTCACGTGCCACTCGAAAACCACTTGCTTCTTCAGACGCCGATCTCCCGCGTTCTCCAGTGAAATATTTTATCAGCTCAGAGGTTTCTGTGGGGAATATCAAAAGAGATACATAATATTCTTGCGCATACCGCTCATACACTCCATTCATTTCCATCGATGTTGAAATTAGTACAAACATATTGGATAAACGTATCTTACACTAGGGAGTTTGCCCTTCGGGCATGCAAACTCGCTATGGTAGCGACTTCGGCGCTCCATTACCTTGGATAGTGATTAATTCATTTATTCTTTTTTGCGTAATGGCAAACGCGTATTTAAAGTACGTCCCCATTGAAATGCGTGACATATGGAGAGGAAAGCCTTCATTTCTTTTCAAAATCATTACTTCTATGATTTCTAGGGTACCTAACTTGAAATCATTTCATGTGTCCCTTTTTGTAAGGGCGGAGAATACATTTTTAAATACTTCCCTCCTATAATCTACGCTAAAGGGACATGTTTCAAACGTAGGATTTTTCCTGTTCTCAGCCATCGAACAAGTACTTCTGAGGGAAGTTTACATTTTCTGGCTCTGTTTTGTTAGATCAAAAAAAAAAATTCAGGAAAATAGGACTTAAAAAAAAGTGCCCTGATGGGCTTCAACGAAATTTTTTTTTCCTTCTGAAATGTAGACTCAGGAACTCCGTGCCACACAGTTTCAGCCTTATGCGTTTCCCCTTCCTGCTGGAGTTAAAAAATGTGCCTCTGTGATTCTTTTGAACTTGTGGCGTGCACATTTCTTCCTGTTGGGGTGCTCACCTTTCAATCTGTTGTCTCTTCAAAGCCTGTGGATTTCAGCCTTTCTTGAAAGTCATTTACAACAAGCCATTCTGAGAGTATGAGGGGATGTGCAAAAGTTCGATCATCCTGATTAACCTTTCCCTGTCACATGTGGATGTCAAATTCTACGTACACCTGGCAGGCCTTTTCCAACTAATGTTCCTGGAACGTATGCCTTAACACTTTAATTAATAAAGCAAACCAAAATACATATCAAATTGAAATTTTCACCTGACAGAAGAGTAATGCTGCTTTACATTCATAACCTTCCCCTTTTTACCAAAGAAGAGCTCATACATTTTTATTTGCGTGATAGGTAATCATGAAATTTGCACAACAATGCACAATTGAATGCTAAGTGCAGAAACATAAAAAAATATTTTGAAATCGTCAAAGCAACATCTGTTGCGCATATCACGGAGTGTAATACATTTCCCTGTAAGTAGTCCTCGATTTCAGGCATGTATCTGTGCCCAGACGAGAGACTCCACTCCACTCCATCTAGACGAGAGAGACAGCTGATGGTTTCATAGGTACTGAGTGCCGTCCTAGTTCGTCTCCATCAGAAGGAGTTGGAATAGTTCCCCAGTCAAAAAAAAATGCTTAGCCACAAAAAAGAAACATTGACTAGTAGGATTGGTTCTTCCCATTGTCACCTCTACAATCTCCAATGATGGGAACATTGGCCCGTATGCCACAACCTATCACATGATAGCCTATTACATGGTAGCTATCATGATAGGTATCAGGCGATAGGCCTATTATTTGTTCTATTCCGTATGCAAGATCAAATTATAGGTATCCATCGTGAGGCCTATTATGATAGGTATTCGTGAATTTTCCTGATGACAACCTCCTATACGTCGTCTCCTGCACAGTAACAATGCCAAGTGTATCTGCTCACATGACTGACCAGAGTGTTGTGCGATGATTTAACGGCATTAATCTGACCCCGTTTACCGGAATAGTGCTTGATTTCCGAATGCCGCGGCTTGATACAAATAATCATTCGGGATTTAATCTATCTCAGAGTAATCGCGTTCAGCACAAGTTGCGACGGTTCACATAATTAATTGGGTTAATAAAATGCATAGCAATCCACCCAGGTAGCTGGTTATTTCGTTATGAGCAGAATAAACAAGCTCTGGATCATAATAGATTGAAGCAATTCCTATACCTATCATGATACCCTATCATGATAGGTATAACATGTTTCTGCATAATCCAACCTATCAAACCTATCAAACTTATCATGTGATACCCCAGGAAATAGCTATTTTATCGGTTTTATACGTTCTTGCATACCAGCCAATGTCCTGTCTTGTCCATTAAGCATGTGGTCCTGGTACTGCTTCCAAATCTAACTCGTTACTATCACTGTCACTTTCATCTATCACCTGCAATGGGCTACAATGTGTTTTGTCCTCATCATCAAAGATCTCAGGGATCATATCATTGTTGTCGATATCACTATCCGCTGTTACTTCTCCGGAAATTTCGTCCTCAGTTACCTCACGAACAGACGCCATATTGGGCAGGGTAACAAAAAGTCCCACTTTTTTTTGCATTTTCTGTTGCTGGCAGTAAAAATTTATAACCAATACGTCTGGGATCAAGATACACTATTTATCTATCTATTGCCGAATTCTCTTGGTTGAGAACTTTTCTCTCAAGTGGCAAAAGCATCCAGGAAAGAGTCCTGCAAAAGACCCCAAAGTACGCCCATGACAGGTAAAGGTTGAGCTACGCTGGAAGTAGAAATACGTCTGCGCCAGGGAAGGTTCTGGTAACGATGGACGTAAAAATACACCCGTGGCAGGGAAAGGGTAAAAAAAAAAAAACTACACCACCACGTTTTTCACGTTTACATCTGACGACGACGCTGTCTTTTCGACCCCTTTCTGAACAGGACCTCCAGAGTGTGCTCGATCCGTTCGACTCCGAATGCACTGCGGCCGGAATGAAACTGAGCTTCCCCAAGGCAAAGGTCATGGTCCTCTTGATAAGTCCTGTACAGTGGACCCTGCATGTCAATAAGGTCCCACTCAAAAATGTAGGGAAGTTCAAGTACCTCGGGATCTGGTTCTCGAGTGACGGGCGACATGGAAAAGTGATCGAGAACCGCATCTCCTATGCTTCTGCAGTTCAGTGGTAACTTTGGCGAACCCGGGTTGCCAGATCAGAGGTTTCCAGGGAAGTGAAACTCTTGGTTTTCAAGTGTCTTTATCTCCTTACCTTCATCACCTATGGTCATAAACTTCGGGTAATGACCGAAAGAACCAGATCGAGAAAAATTGCCACCGAAATGTTCTTGCGTCGAATGGCTGTCGTAGCGCGCTGTGATAGAGTACGGAACTCTGACGTTCGCGATTGCCTCTACGCCGAGCAGCTGCTTCTCAGGATCGAGAGATAACAGATCAGTCGGTTTGGACACGTCTGCTGCGTATCCCCTGAAAGACTCCCGAGAGGAGTCCTCCAGGCCAAGATGACCAATAAAAAACTTATCAGCTGACCTCGTACGGGGTGGAGTGACTACGTGGTTCGGCATTGTCACGATAGGCTCGGCATTCCACCGGCCGAACTAAAGTCCGTCGCCCAGGATCGAGGCCATTAAAGGTCGCTCCTGGGCTCGCTCGAACCGCGACCCCATTGAATTTAAAAAAGCGGTAGCTAAAATGGGCACGTGTGCGAAACATTTATAGTGAATGCACTGCACATTCAATTGTTTCCCACAGATTCGCGGAAATATATTCAATTGAGTTCTCTGAGAATAAGTGGAAGCCCAGCAAATAATTACTTGTTCCAAAACATTGAGAGATTGATGTTGAAGTTCACCAACCTTTTCAATAAAATAATGCTACTAAGTTGCTGAGGCAGAATGTTTCCCTTACACGTATGAAGCACGCAAATCAGCAAATAAAATGGCAAAGATGGGTATGAGACTAAAATAGTTAATAATGAATTCCACGGAATACTTACTCTGGCCCATAAATTCTGCGCATTATTTTTCATTCACAAACTTTTGTCTCTCAGGACAGAGGGAGTACAAGAAGCTGTAACATTTCCAAGGGCAAGGAAGCTTCACCAATAAAGGGACAGTCAAAAACTCCAATAGGAGACCTTTCCTTTGCTCGTGAAGATGTCTCCTACGAATACCTATGCCACTATGAAGAAAATACTCAATCATGAGAAATTCTGACATACCTTGAGTATAACTATTACGAAAGAAAGTAACTTTACGAAAGTAAGTTTTGTAAGTGAACTGACTGTCATGCAGGTTTACACGACAATGAGCTCATTCTGTAGACTATGGCCTCCGCACCTCAGGAAAGAACAGTTTCCACCAAAGTCCCTAGATATCCAATTTATTCAAAACACTGAAATTTGTCATGCATAGGTCCCAAATCCCGATTCATACCTCAACCCTCTCAGAGCAAGAAAAATAACGTCAGCAAATTATTTATTGTATCATTCACCGGGATCCCTGCTCTAAATTCCCCTTTCATAGCAGCGATGTTATGCACTTTCATCTACGTTGTTTCGTTCTCCTTCCCATGAGGTGAACGTGAAAGTTGGACTTATCCTCCCTCGATCTTTCGAGCCAGAATTTTCTGAAGACTTCTGAGATTGGGTTATCTTTAAAGACCGATTCGTTGACGAATTCAAACATCTTCCCTTCTTGTTTATGTAGAGCAAGTTCGGCTACGGCGTGGAAGGTATTGGGGACTGGGGATTGGGGAGCATCTGCAATTCACCCGCTATACGGACTACTACGACTAGACAACATCGTCTAGCTCCTGTTGTGCGAACCTTTAGTTGAAACCTTTGTCAGATGGATACCATGGATACATATAGATGGATACATGTATTTAACTTCATCATATTTTTAGCGTTGAAGGAATGTCCTTCAAATGCAATACGTTTTGGAATCAAATGGCACCTTCACTTAGCGCCCAAAAGTTGTGAATTAGACATCCAAAACCTCTTCGAACACATTTTGGACGTCCCTGAGAGAGTTCATTTGGTATTTAGGCAATGTCATATGTATGAGGACCGTATGTCTCATTTGATCCTTGATTATCCTTGGTATCTGATCATATGAATGGAACATTTTGGCAACAAAGGCGAAAAAATTTAACAAAAAACGGCAATACAACATAATGGTCGCGCCGATGTCATTTGTCAAAGCTCCTTTCGTCTATCATTCCACGTGGCACCTCAACCCATCAATGGAGTATGGTGCCCATAAAGCCAAAAGGTTCACTATTCTACATAGGGTTGTAGTTTGAAACGAGCAGCATATGCACAGACGTCAGACTGCAACCAAGGAAATTGGTTGCAGTCTGACAAATTGCTCAAATGCGGGGGAAATCCAGTCTCGGAAACACCAACGGCTAGCATCGTGCATCAGCTCATGAGAATGGAGGATGACAGGGAAGATGCAGCAAACAGCGCATTCATGGTTTGCAAATCTCCTTTTTTACTGCGAGCTCCCGTCTCGGATAGATAATACTGCCATTTTTTGACATCCACCATTGTCACGGAGATAAGGGAAAACAATGCAACATTTGCAGAATTCTTGCATTCTTTGGCGTCCTTGCATCGTTCGCGAGCAATCGTGAGTGTTTCAAAGGACTTAAGGTCATGTAAGCAGCGACCTTCTGCTATTATGAAATTCTCCATTTTTGAGAGATGGACCCCCGCCAGAAAACTTCGGGGATGGACTTTTATGCGGTGTGAACGCAAGTGGCGACGAATTGGCAAATCCAACCAGTATTCCATCATGGACGTTTTGAAAACGCTGTATTCCCGTCAGCCGGCTAGAGATACTGCAGTAAACGATGCCAACGTTCTCTTTTGAGTAAAACCACAGCTCTTGTCTCCTCGTCCTTCAGAAAAATGGTGGAACGTGAGCATCTGCGATGAAAGTTGCCTCCCCTCCCTTTCGTGAGGCCGATTCGCAAATTTCATTTCGCGAAACCTTTCTCATCCTCGCATAATGAGAAAGGTTCCTGATGAAACCCCAAGATCGTATCAAGAAACGTTTGACCAGTAGAGCTGTCGCAAACACACAAACCCATTTGTCGTTGAGCCTAGCTAGCGGTCAGGATTGCGTACGCTATATATTTAACCTCCGGACCACAAACCGGATTCAAGCCGGTTTTAATGAAATGGCGCAAGAAATTTTGTGATAAAATACAGACAGACTGCCTGCCAGGGCGCCATAATAGAAATGGTTCGATAGAGAATGCACGGAAAAGAAAAAGGAACCCACGCGAGCACTCCAATTTGCCCTATTCGGGCACGCACCCCTGCCGGACTACAACCGGGTCCGACGCGAATACAAGGTCTTCCTCAGGAATGCAAAAGTCCGACAAGAGGAAACCCAGCTTCTAAGGAAGGTTGAAGAAAGTAACTTGGGACTCCTTGGGCTATCCTCAAAAGGAAGCAAAGCTCTACACCTGCCCCAACCACACAGGAACAATGGATTGACCACCTGACGCGTACTCTGAACCCTCCTACAGATGCACGACCGATCCATGCCCCTGGGAATCTCTCTGGAAACCTTCACCTCAGAGCATGGTAAAACCAACCATTCTCTGAAGAGGAAATACTGTGCATGCTTCAACGGATGCCCGACAGAAAAGCACCTGGGCCCGACTCCCTCACGACCGAGCAACTGAAAGGGTCGATCCACATCCTCTCAGAGGCGTGGTCAAACCTCTACAGTGACATCCTGGTATCAACTTCCATCCCTGAAAGCTGGTGTATCTCACGTCTAAAACCTCTTTATAAAGGGAAAGAAAGGATCGACGATCCTGACAAACACTGCGGAATAGCCCTACTCTCAACACCTTTCAAGCTCTTAACAGGAATGATTAACCACCCCATAATACATCACATCGAATTCCCCCCGGAACAATATGGTTTCAGGAGCGGCCATTCAACCATCCAGCCGATGAGACTCCTCACTGACGCCATTGCCAACCAGCTCAGTAAGACCAGAGTATCGCCCTATGTTGTCTTCGTCGATTTTTGGAAGGTTTTCGACACCGTCGACAGAAGCATTCTCGTAAACAAGCTAGAACGTAGGGGAATAAAGGGACGTATCCTCAGCCTCATCCATGACGTCCTCCGGAAAAACTACGAGGGTGACTCAAATGAAAACCGCAAAGTCGTAAAAAATTATAACATCTCAAAAAAAAAACTAATAAAAATCCTGTGTCACGTAAAGTCTGCCGGCAACACTGAGTGCATGCGCTGCTCCTTCCGCTGACGTCATCCTTAAGCAGACGGTGTACAAGATGGCAGCACCCTCGCAGTCATGCACGAAGATTGAGATGCGATATCAATTCCTTTTTTTAAGCGCAGAAGGGATAAAACCGGCCGAAATTTATCGTAGAATGTCGGTTCAGTATGGTGAGGCGTGCACGAGTAAACGGCTAGTATACGAGTAGGTGAATACATTTTTAAAAAGGCATGGAAAGAATTGAAGACTTTCCGTGACCTGGGCAATCTTTCCAATCTACTTACGTCGTTTTCATATAAAGTTGGGAACGTATTAGGGAACAAATTTCCACATAAATATAAGTGCGACTTTCCATTGACAGAATTAGCCAAAGAAGCATGAAAAATAGGCTCCTTGTCTTTACAGCTGAGAGAATTTTTCTGTTTGCGGGATCCCTTCTACCATAAGAGCAAGAAAAAACTTCCTCTGTGAAAAAATCTCTTCCACCTAATCTCCACGGCAGACACGGCAACGTAGTTGCTACTGTGAACTGCAGGGTGTATCAAAACCGTTTGATAGGGGGAAACGGGCCAAAGGGTACTCATTTAAAATAATAAAACATCATTTGAAGCTTTATTTTTCCTTAATATTGGAATATATTAAAGCTTTGTCTGCTCGCCGTTAGCTGAGGACACATTGATGGTTTGAACGATCACGCAATCACGCAACGACCACGTTCACGATTATTATTTCCTATACGTAAAAAAATATCTTGAATTTGCAATGTAACTTCTTGAATGATTGCGAAAATCATACCTTTAACGTTTGAGGTTAGTGCGTGAAGCAAAAGGAAAGCACGCAAGGCATTAACATTTTCCTATCCAGGCAAAAATAGCTTTAAAAAAAGATGTACTAGTAAGTCACAAGGGAACTCGGTTATGTACTAGTAGCTTACCACTAATGACGCTTCTTTTTCAGGCACGTGCTCATCCATAGCAGCTGATCGTACATCCTCTTGTCTGTTCCGTTCATGAGCCAGGCAGAGCCTGCCCGTACTCTTTCGGTATGAGATTCCCGAGATCATTTGGCTTGCCAATGCGAAAACTCGACTGGTCTTGTATCGCTGAGTCCCGCTTGTAAGACTTCCCAAAAATACATGTTAGCTCCCTGTTTGGAATGTTTTTTAAAGAAAAAAAACGTCGTAATCTGTGAACGTCACATGTATAACAATATATTTCTCGATTTACATGGTAATGCTGCTTAGCCACCGGAGAGAAAAGTTAGTGAACCCGGTACTTTTTGTGAAACATTGAACATCGTGTCATTGCAATGAAAAGGTTCAACTGATAGTTTCTCTGAAACATTCCATTACGATCGGTCCACAATCCACTACATCGCCTTTCCATCAGTTCTGAGAAGAGGAGAAAAGAATGCCAACAGAGAAGCCGACATTGAGGAAGAAGAACAGATTAAGGAAGAATCGATCCAGGATCCATGAGACCGTCCGCCAGTTTTGCAAATCCGTGACGTATCCTTCTCCCTCTCTTCCACCTGCTTTCTTTATCTTCACCTTCTCCCACTTCCGCTTCTCCTGGGATTCCATAAGGGACAGGAGTCGATTCATTTTCACGTCCGCCTCTGTAAGGTCATACAGATTCCAGATGAGTTGATGCTTATTTCTTGTTCAGGCACGAAAAATGCAGTTTTTATTCTTTCATTTTCCCACTGCGATATGAGTGAAATGAGTTTTGGAAGCGCGATCAACGCGCTTCCAAAACGTACACTTCAAGCGATGAAAAACCCAAACGTCTTATTATCCATTCTCGACTTGGAATCTGAAAATCGATCGAAAATAATAAATTTCATCACAAAAACCGCACAATTATTCAGATGAAGAGTAGGTGCTCTCCACTCATGCAAAAAATCCGTAGCATACCAAATTTCCCAAGTTCTAGCCCCTCCTGCGTGAATATCCAACTTTCTGCAAACTTGACGAATGCTTATCTACTGCTTTGTGGCTTGAAATCATGCTAGCAATATCCTCAATTACGTCACTCTCCTAAGAAAAATCGAATAATTACCCACTCATAATTATCAAAGTCAATGTAATTCAGTCGTAAATTAAAATTAAAATAATATTTAAAGGAATTTGTGACTCGATAACTCCCACCACTTATGTATGGGAAGAGTGGCGTCTTGAGGGCATACCTTTAACAGACTCCATCCGAAGAGATTCAGTCGCAGTATTCTGGGAATGTCGTCGCAAGTCTACTCCATTCCTTTCATTCCCATCCATTTTCGCCCCAGCCTGTGTTAATGGAGACTGCAAACCATAACCATTATAACCAGAATAGAAAAATAAGTGCATGCAGAATGGAGGATGGAAACAGACGGGGGCGAAGTGGGGCTCTGCCATGCAGGTCAGGCGAGCCAGGATGCGGCACAAGCACTGCAGCGCCTTGGGGAGTGGCCGGACGTCACTCAGGTGATACAAGTACGAGGTGAAGATGTTGAGTACCACCTCCACTGCCACCAGCAAGACGCAGGTGCAGTAGAATTTCCCTACAGGACTCGATCGGGCCGAAAATAGTCACAAAATTGCGTGGCATTCATGTTACTGGTTTCTTTCCTGTAGACTAATTATTAATAATTGAACGTCAATTTCTAGTCAAACCCTGATCGAAACCCATTAAATTTATTCAAACACGGATGACTACTAAATTGACTTTGTTCTTGTGTGTGTTTTGACGTGTGGCATATGACACTGGGCAATATGAAATAGTTCGCAGCTTTTTTTTTCTTAAAACATCAGAGCGACTATGAAAGTCATTTCGGATTTCGTCAGTAATTTTTGTATTCTCAGGGAGTTCTTGGAAAATATGATTTGTTTCATCCAAACTGTTGTGATGCCAAGACCCACCGAACGATGCTTTATCAATTAGCGCTTGCGAATAAAGCAAAATTATTACGAGAGAAAATTCCATTTCCTTGAAGGTAAGTCCGTCACCCTGTATGTCTCGCTGACTCTTTAGCTTTAAATGGGCTGAATGTTGGGCGATTAAATTTTTAACACATATCCCTAATAATACAAGGACTGATCCCTCTCGTATGATGAATCTTTCCCCCAAGTCAAGAACTCCTCGTTATTAATTTTAAAAATTACGCTATTAGCGGGAAATACAACTGATCAATCGCGTCCACTGATGTTTTAGAAATTTAGATGATATGATTTAGACATCAGCTTGTAAAAATGCTATCTACGGGCTCGATCTAAGCGTGGCACGAAGTCAAGATTTATAGGTTAGGAACAGCGAAAGGAAATGCTTGAATTGTAGGGCAGGCATTTGCCATTTACAGGAACAATACATGCTTTCGTGATAAAAAGCAAAAAGCGATGTCATTGCGATTGCAATACGACATCCCCCAATTTGTGCAAAAAGTTGTCAAGAAAATCCTTACATCGACTGCATGGAAACAAAAAGGATTGAATGTCTGAAGAATGTGTTTTCGTCCCTACCAAAGTACCGTTCTGCGATTCACTTATAAAATGAATCCGGGTGACCGTTCTGAGGTATGAGTCCAACCCTGTTGCTCCGCTTTGAAATAGATTGTCTCACAAGTATTTTCGTTGAATATTCACCAGCCTTCGAAGCTCATGAAAATTGTATTTCATGGTTGTGCACCGAATTTCAGAACTATCACCCAATTAGTGCTACTTTTCTCAGTAATGAGTGAAATGCTAACATTCCTGTAAAAGGTGCTGTATTACTTTAAATGCAACAATTGAGGTGACTAAATGTGGCAGAACTTCACATTGAATCGCATTTACTTACTGCTCCAGATTTTCCAAATACGGTTCCGCGACGTTGGCAACCAACCACATATTCTACTACCCGAAGGCGCGACCATTGCGAGTTTGTTTGCTCGAAGGGCAAACAAACTCCATTACCTTTGATAGTAATTAATTAATTTATTCTTTGCAAAATGGCAAACACTTATTTAAAATACGTCCCCATTGAAATACGTGACTTATATGGACGAAAGTCTTCATTCTCATCAAAATCATTATTTCTATTATTTCTGGTGTGCCTAATTTTAAATCTTTTCATGTGACCCTTTTTGTACGGGTGGAGAATACATTTTGCAATACTTCCCTCCTATAATCTACGCTAATGGGGCATATTTCAAAAGTAGGATTTTTCTGTACTCAGCCATCAAACAGGAATTTCTGAGGGAATTTTAAATTTTCTGTCTATGTTTCGTTGGATCAAAAAATAATTCAGGATAATGGGACTGTGAAAAAGTGCCATGATGGGTTTTAAGGAAATTTTTTTCTTCTGAAATGTAGACTCAGGGAAATCCATGCCACCCAGTTTCAGCCTTATAAGTTTCCCCTTTTTAATGGCGAAATATATATATTTGGAAAAGCGACCCATCTAAAAGCTGTGCTCTGAGGAGACGCACAGCAAAAGTTGAATTTTCCTTTAAATCTACATCACGTCCGTTATGTGTGCGCCAGCTGCGACTTTTCTATTTCTGCCCGATTCGCTGGGATATGTAAAATTCTTTGAAAACATAAAGTCCTCAAGAAATATCCCACCCAAAAAATTCCAATACTTTAGAAATTTGTCATCTTTCCTGAGCTCAGCACATCAGCAGTCGTGTTCTTGCCAAGTTTCAGCTTTCCATGTGTCCCCGTTTGATTGAAACAAAGAGAACGATTTGGAAATATGTTCCACAAAAAGATGTGCACCTATGGCATGTATCACCAAAGTAGAATTTTTTCTGAACTCGGCATGCGAATATCGACTTATGTCAGCCAGTCAGCTACTCACAATCATCTATATATAATAAAAGTAGAATTTTTTCTTTACTCAGCTATCAACAAAGCCTGCCCACAAAGTTTCACCCTTTTGCCCTTTTCGCTGATGAAAAAACATGCTTGGAAAAGCCGACCCACCCAAAAGCTATGACCGGAGGGGATGCACCATGGAAACTGAATACTCCCTCAAATCAATAATATTATGTCACTTATACGTGTGCCAAGTTTCACCTTTCCATTTCTGTCCAATTCGCCTAGACAATTTTTTTTTAAACATCACTCCTGGAAAAAATTCCCCAGGGGATGTGTCGAGACTTAACATTTTCCTTTAACTCCTTGTCTGATTAGTCACATTCATGCAAAGTTTCAGCTTTTCATCTCCATCAGTTTAACTGATGCAAAATAAATGATTGGAAAACATCTCTCTTTGAAATTTGTGCCCCCGCGGCAGATACTTTCAAATTCCGAATTTTTCTGCACGCAGCACCCCAATAGGTAGTTATGTACCAAAGTTTCATCTTTCCATACCAGCTCAATACGCCAGGGGAAAAAAAAATTACGTGAAAACGTCGGCCCCTAAAAATATGCACCCAGAGGGCATGGATCGTACATTTTATATTTTTCCTGAACTCATCGTCTCGGTAGGCATGTCCAGGCCAAGTTTCAACTTTCCACGTCTCTCCCTTTTACTAAAGCAAAAAAGTTGTTACGGAGGGGGAATGAGTAATGCGACTTGGAAGGCATAAGAGGCCGAAAGAAAGCTTAGAAACGGCCGGAAATTGAACCCAGACCTCCTGATTGCCGGTCAGGTGTGCTTCCGCTAAACCACCGAACCCGAACATCCGGTCAACTCTCTCGATGCCATTCATATCCGTCACAATATACAGGTATATCTTTAAAAACTTCTCCCCCCAAAATGTGTACCCCCGGGGCGTGTACCTCCAAAGTCGGATTTTTTCTGAACTCTGCAGCCCAGTAGGTACATGTGTACCAAGCTTCAGATTTCTAACTTCTCTAGAACATGGTTAGAATTAGCGTCATTCAGTCACGATCGTCTATACATATTAGATAGCGATCGCCGTTCTTGAAAGAAAAGAGAGGATTTAACCTGATTAGAATGAAAATTGGTAAGTCACCAGTAAATTACTCATATGCTCTCTCCTTTTCCGTCTCTAAGAAAAAACGAAAAATTAAGCAATGGGAGAGGAAAGCTAAAGCCATGATTCGACTCTTGAGAGTGAAGCAGCTTAACCGCTACATATTGTTCATTGATATGTTGTTATTTCTAAACACGAGATTCATGGGGGAAAATTCTTACTTTCACTGAAAGTTATTCTTAATGATATCTACTGGTCGGCATACCGATGAGTGGCGTGTTCTCTGTGGGCGGGAGGACATCCCGGAGGCCCATGAGGATGATGACCATGTTGAGCATGGCGGAGATCCCCAGAGTCACCTTCTCCCCGCTCTCGCAAGGCATCAGGAAGGACAGCAGGGCTAGAATCATATAAAGAGTGGCCATTTATTTTCTGCTTTAACTAATAAAGCCCACTTTCCAGCCCAACCATCATGGAAATTCCCAAAGTCTCGCGGTGAGACCCAAAGAAACTAAAAGGGGGGGACGTTTTCATATACATGTGTCTGTGGCTTGCATCATGAATTGCCAACACGTGGCCGCCAAAAAAGTGGAGTTTTGCGTTCTAGAGCAAAGTCAACCGTTACTTTTCGAAGCAAACGCGAAATTCGGTTTTCATGGGCAAATCAATCAGATATTCATACGGCGAACCAAAAGCATGCATGACAAGTTCAATTCAGGAATTCAGGAATTTCTCATTTTAGATTCCTGAATCCGCGGCCCTGATTAACCTGGTTGTTCCCCAGGATCATAAGGACTGCGATAGTGACTGATCTTCCCTGGTGAACTTCTGTAATTAGGCTCTAGGGTCTGCCAACGGCAATTCTAGGTGCGACAGACCCTATGGTGCCATATGGAGGGTTAACAGTCGGCTTTTAATTGACCATGCCAACCGGCATAAGCTGCGGACTAGGAACTGGAGTGCAGGGGAAGGAAAACTTTCTAATTTGTATGAAATGGGGTAATTCCAGGACAAATTGCCCCCAAAATTTCGAAACTAGCACCCGATCCTCTTCGATCTTCATGAAATTTTTTATTTGACCTCGTTATTCGACGAAACTCCGAAACACTAAATTTGAGCGTTATCGCTTCACCACATCAAAAGCTACAGGGTGCTCAAAATTTGGCGATACCGTCTTACCTCCGATGTTCAATGCCCTGTAACTCAGCAACGATTCATGCTAGGTCCTTGCTCAAGGTGTCAATTCACTCGGAATCACGTGAGGATGTGAAAAAAAGGCACACACGATCACTCTGGAAAAATTCAAAGTTTTTTATCGACAAAAATTTTGACCTTTAAACTTGGGATGAATCCCCAAATTAAAAATTCTGAAAAAAATTCAGTGGAAAGGTTCATGTCTTTGCTAGCGATAGGAAAAATTACAAAACAGTAATATTTTTTGTATTTGAGAAAAAAAATTTTTGAATCAGCCCATCCCAACAACCTACGTTGTATGGGGGGCTATTCCACGATGCAACACCATAAGTAAGACCCTTTCTCTCCTCAATTTCGGCGATATTGCATCATTTGGGTCTATTCGAATTATCAGTCCTTCCATGAAATGTCAGAATCCGAAATGTTTAGATTTTCCGCATCTTGGTACATGAGATGTGAATTTAGAAGGTTTAGGCCTTCAGTAACACGTGACCCCTAAGGCAAATTCCATAACTCGCAATGAAATTATTTTAGCCAAATTACGACGATGTTGCATATAGAAAGAGATTTTGAACTTGGAACTTTAGGTGAACCACCTAATTTCGAATCCTAATAAACGTTAATTGTGTTCCTTCCATCCCAGATTCAATTGAGTGAACTGCTGAGGTGAAGAATTAAAATTTCCAGGAATCTTGTGGTCAAGGCCATGAAAAGAAAAACACTAAAAATCTGGTGTTTAAATTTGTTTCTGATGCCGACAAGAAATTAACCTTCTAAATGCCACTAAGGACAAATGTCCCCACCTATTTTTCCTCCTGCCTTCATGAGCAGACCCTCCTGAAGTGGCATTCACATCGCAGGAGGAAATGCTTCAATCACTAAAATAATTTCTCCTTTTAATGTTCGCATCCTCATGTGATTCTATTTGAATTGATACATTGATCAAGGATTTGCCGTAATTGCTTTTGAGTTATGCGTGAATCAAAATGGGATGTAAGTAGATATCTGTAAATGATGGCTTTAATTTCTGCAGCTTACTGACCCGATTGCACTGAAATTTGACTCTTCCTCGTTCTGCGGAAAAGGAAAGTAATATTTCTTGGAACTTCTTCAACTTTTTTTTTCAACTTCTTGGAAATCTGACGTGGTTTGGTGTTAATATTCAATTTTCTGTCGATTTGTCATGGGATGACCCGATTAGATCATGAAATTAGCAAAATTTAATAAATTTTGAAACATACATAGATATCAGGTTTCATATAGATCATATTTTCGCAGTGATGTTTACATTCCGCTTATCCACACCTATCATATGAGCTATTACATGCCTTTCTTGCTGACATTGCTTGCGAGATATGGAACTTGCCTTAGGGGTCACGTGTTACTGAAGGCCTAAACCTTCTAAATTCACATCTCATGTACCAAGATGCGGAAAATCTAAACATTTCGGATTCTGACATTTCATGGAAGGACTGATAATTCGAATAGACCCAAATGACGCAATATCGCCGAAATTGAGGAGAGAAAGGGTCTTACTTATGGTGTTGCATCGTGGAATAGCCCCCATACAACATAGGTTGTTGGGATGGGCTGATTCAAAAATTTTTTTCTCAAATACGAAACATATTACTAATTTGTAATTTTTCCTATCGCTAGCAAAGACATGAACCTTTCCACTGAAATTTTTTCAGAATTTTTAATTTGGGGATTCATCCCAAGTTTAAAGGTCAAAATTTTTGTCGATAAAAAACTTTGATTGAATTTTTCCAGAGTGATCGTGTGTGCCTCTTTTTCACATCCTCACGTGATTCCGAGTGAATTGACACCTTGAGCAAGGACCTAGCATGAATCGTTGCTGAGTTACAGGGCATTGAACATCGGAGGTAAGACGGTATTACCAAATTGTGAGCACCCTGTAGCTTTTGATGTGGTGATGCGATAACGCTCAAATTTAGTGTTTCCGAGTTTCGTCGAACAACAAGGTCAAATAAATTTTTTTTTATGAAAATCGGAGACGGTCGGGTGTTACCTCTTGGTTGATTTGTCCTGGAATTACCCAATGGCGTCCTTGAAACCCCACCACCCAGTCCGGCAGTTGCACCTAGTAATCAGCTACCCATGACGTTGATGATGATCATGGGGAGAAAGTAGTTGAGAAGGAAGAACCCGGGTCGGCGCCGGAGCCGCATGGAATAAGCGATGACTGAGAAGTAGTTCTCGCAACAGGGGTCCATTTCCGCCTTTTCCTCCGCCACGTAGGAGGTTAGGCTGAACTCCTCGTTCTCCGCATACGACAAAAGGTCAATTTTCTGGTCGTGGTCAATCTGCAGCCGGATCTGGAACAACGAATTGCGTGCAGTTGTACAGCACTACCATTTACCGTGCAGTGACAGACACACGACCTAACATTTTCTTTCTCTAAGGCGTGGCACGTGACCATTCCACGGTTTGAATCTTCCCAAAGCACCTAGTAAGCACAAGATGGGTTATTCGTTCCAAAAGTGCGGACCTAGCCGAACACCTTAGCTAAGCCGAGGGATCAAGCTATCATTTCAGCTCTACCCTAAGGTTTGAAGAGATAACAAAGTATCTGATAAAATGTTCTGCCTAGGGACTCCAGTCTTTCGGATCATTCCAAGATCAGTTCATAACTCGGCACCGAAATGGCACATACTATATCACGCAGTGGCAGGTATGGCGTCCGAAATCCTGTTAGCGACTTGTAACACGATGGCGGCAAATTTGGACGGGAAGAGGATTCTTTAAAGTCTGAAAATATGCTGAGCAGGACCACAGAAGAGTGAACAAGATGTTCGTAACTATATCGGAATTGCAACCAATCAAATAATAGTTTTCCGCTAGAGTCGAGAACATGTTGACTCTAGAATGAGCTAGCACAAGGAATGCCAACCAATCATGGAAGGAAAGTAGCATTGACTCTCCGTTTCATTTCTTTTAATTCCGGACCGTTAGCTAAATGAAGCTTAACTTGGCAACCCTATTTGGGAAATTTTCGGACAAATGATTTCGTTGTGGTCCCACCTGGGTGTGGTCGTGCGTCAAGGACATGAACCTCAACTTGCAGGTCTGGACGTCGAACGGGTAGAACTGGACGTCAACGTTGCAGAAGGAGCAAAAGATAGCAGACGTGAGGAGAGTCACCTCGCCCTTGTAGCTCACGATCGCGTTCGTCCGCAGCTGCCGATCCCCGCAGTTCGTCGACACACTGCAAGGAAACCAGTGGTCACTTCTCGGTTCACCACGTGTAGGTTCAGTTGAGGCGACGCCGAATATGAAGAACGCGCATGTTAAATGCGGAAAGGCGTATGATCCCAGTGTAATCAAGTGGCATGCGTTTCGCTTTCGAGGCGCGAATTTATTCACGCCCGGACGCGTGATACAGGATGCTCTACTCAGATAAGCGCAAGAGACCAGTCACGTAGGTGTGTGGGGTCAGGGAGCACAGGTCGCTGCCCCCCACCTTTTCACTCCCCCCCCCACACCAGATATAAACTGTTATAAATAGATGTGGATTTACCTGTTGTAGAGGATTATATCTGGGATCCATATGGAGTTATAAGGGATGACGATCTTCCGGATCCCCCCAAACTCTTCCGGCTTCCAATGCAGATAGGTATCATTCCACAGTTCGATGACCTCCGCGTTGGTGCTGAGCACGCGGTTCTTCTCGTCCTGTCTCAACATCGCATCACCCGTCTCAACCATTCCCATCGAAACCTAAAGGGACGAGGCGAAAGAAACGGACCAAGTCGATGATTTGGAAGAGGCCGAGTCGGACGTGGACCACGAGAGGCCGGTTGGAGTCGTCGATGGGTCGCACCATCGGGTAGTCGGTGAAGAGGGCCTTTCGGAGTCGGATTTCTTCTTTGCTCCCTTCCGAAAGCATTTCGTTGCACGCGATAAACAGGATCAGATGCCAAACTTCCATTTTCAACACTACCTAGAAATAAGGGCACATGTTCTTTACATGAGGAAGAAGATGAATGCATGCATGATGTAGACTTCGAGGGAACCATATTGTAGGTGAGGAGGAAGTGATTGGACCGTGTTCGGGATCGTGTATTGTTTCCCTCCTAAGTTCCCTCCATTCACACTTAAGGGGATACCGCAACATGAAGCCATACGGCTGTAGGTAATTAGACTGGAGAATTCCATTATTTAGGGTATTGGAGTTTGTGAATGAGACTTTCGTTGAATCAACGGATGAAACGAACGAATGAACGGATAGAGCTAATGCCTTCTGGGGCAATATGGATCTTCGACCTCGAACCACGAAGCAATAAATCAATTGAGAATTTTGTCCGGTCGTCGTTTTCCATCGACGTGGAAATCCCTCCTATTCTTTTCTTACGACGTTTTTTCCATCCATCCTATTCTTTTCCTACGACGCATTTTGGCTTCACAATGTCGGGCTGGTGTCGGCATACATTTCCTGCCTTTCAATTCGGAGACACCGTGTTGAAAAACGGCTTTCACAGTGTCCGTTCCGCAATTTTGCTCAGCCCTCACTACGCTTCCACGTACGAGAAAGGAGCCCACTTCTACATTTCCACGCCAAACTTGAGGAGAATTGATGGAAGGACTTTATCAAGCCTATTCTTCCAAGTCGCTTTTCGTCGCAAAATAGTAACCCAAAGTAGTCTCGATAGAGAGAGATGCTCGATTTCTTACATTCAGAATGGAACTTCCAGATAAACCATAGACCACTTGATGTCGTTCCGACATTCCCGAACTATAACCTTTCAAACACGCAACTAGACTTGCAAACCACCGCGCAACCTAAACCCCGGCTTCCGAGAGGATGGGGGGGGGGGGGTATACCCTATAACCTTGAGTACTTCTCCAAGCCGCATTCCCCGGTTCCTTGGAAGGAGAAAATTTCCCGCGGGAGATCCCCACTAAACAAACGTCCTCCACATCCACTTACCTTTAGTCTTCCTTCCACTTGAGAATTTGGAATCGTCTCGAACGTATGGAATTAGAGAATCTGTTGATTCAAAGACTTCACCCTTTCATGGTATCGAATCGTACATAAATGAAAGGAAAGATGCAGTAATATGTTGATGGAAAATTGAATTCATGTAAGTTGATGTTCTGAATGTGCCAACATTTTATTCACGGAAGCAATAAGATGTTTCTTCTCATTAGTGGATAAATTTCTTTGCCTGGCTCCCCCTCTCCTGTATCAGTGTCACTGTCATTCATTACGCAACTTTCTACGATATACATTGTTATCATGCCGGGAGCCAATGACTCGGTGCCGCATGTTACAATTGTTTCCATCCATTCTCGTACCTCATAGCTCCTTAAAGGAAATGGTAAAGTGGTGAATTCAGTTGGAATCCTTTAATCCATTGTCACAACGAAGCTTTGGAACGGAACAAAAAAAGCACGCAAACGCATGAAGGAATCTCCGCATCCCTTGGTGTCTTGTTGCAAGTGGCGCGGTGATCCACCGCGCAGCTTGCAACAACCATTCTATGCTGTTAAACCCTTCCACCAAGTTTAGGGTGGTAGGGTTTACCAAGGAGCGAAGGAATTAGTCGCTGATTTGTGTCCTATGGCCTTCTCAGGATGAAAATACAGGGTGGTGCAAAAGTCCTGACCCATATGTCTCCGTACCATTGGAGGGTTAAGATACAATATCTGCACTGCTTATGGGACAATTGCAAAAGAGACCTTCACTCGTCTCCGTGAGAGTATTCGCATCCACATTTATATCTGCGATGCCAGTGAGGACCACCAATTTGAACATTTGCGTCCACGAAATAAATTTCAATGGGTCACAACTTTTGTACCACACTGTACAATTTATTTTACTTCGATTCTGGAAAGGTATAACATTGGGATTCGAAGCACAACTGGTTTGGGGTGAAGACAAACCTTTTCGCCTGACCTCTTGTCAACGACGGGATGCTAATGCGAGTAAGGGATATACACTTAACGCTACGGAACAGTCTATGAAAACTTTCCACAACACACACCAGGACTTCCCGTTTCACTCGGCACCCGCTAATGGAACGGATGAGGCGGATGCCCACGAAGACTGACGCCGCTCGAGGAGATTCTGGGAGGCACGAGACTGGAGGACTGAAAGGCCATGGGGGAACGTCTGCATCATCTCGTTGTATAACCGTGCCTGTAACGTATAAATCAGATGAACGGCTCCCTTTTCGTGAGATTTTTCTTAGAAAAGGGAGCGCACGACTCTCCTCGTGCGATCTTCTTCCACGTCTGTCGTTTCCGCAGTTTAATCGTTCAACCCGATATTCGTGCCTCTGGTAGGTGAGCGTGCGTTCACGTCGGTCATTTCGTGAAGGAGTAAATGGCCGCTTAGGATTGCCGGTGATATGAGGGCGAGGCGAATGAGGCATGTTTTTGCACTTGCGAGAGCATTGTCAATATTGCAATTTTCAGATCGCGGGAATAAGTGAATTTCCAACTTGTAGGATCATCAACAAAATATTTCAACCAATCGTACTTGCAAAACTTTACTTCTCGATGTTTGAGAGAAAACGACGACTCCATAGAGGATATTTCATAATATTAAGTTTCTTTCTTTACAGACCCGAACATCGCCGTCAGCGCATTGCAACAGAAACAAATTTCTATTAATAGGCCGTTATAGTGTTCCCAAACCATTAGCACACGGGCGAAGTTAAAAGTGGGATTCATATATGAGTGCAAGACCAAATTCAAAGGGCCATATTTCTTATCTCGATCACGGAAAGGAACTCGGAATTTTCAGAACTAGTCGACCACATATAGTTGATATCCTGGGAAAGCCATTCGATGGAGATAAAACATTCCTGAGAAAAGTCCTCTCTGGGGAACTTCCCTTCGGGGAATAAACCGTTCAGGGAAATGTCATTTGGGGAAGAGTCCGTGAATCGATAAGAGATATGATAACCCGAGGCACACCGGAAAAGCACCTCTTTTGCGAGGAAAGGGCCTTCGCGTGATGAATTTAATCAAAATTGGGCTCAAATCCTACGAATTCCAAGGCCTCAAAGATCACAATCGAAGGAAGTACTAAATTTTACTCCCTCGTACTTCCAGCCAGACCTAGAGAAACTCGGCCGCAAGGTCCGCGTTAGGGGAGCTTAACAATCGTGTACAAATCCACCCATCCATATACATGAGAGGCTAACCTGTCTGTCATTCTGTCATACCGGTAAACTCGTTCATCTGTTCATCCGAAATCCGTTCGTCCTTGACGGATGGACGTATTTTCACGAGTCAATTGAAGGCTTAGGACCTGGAGGCGATTGGTTAAAAAGTCTAAAATGTACGCTGCGAACGTGTTTTCTAAGGGTTCTCCTGTCTTATTGCTTTGGGCCTGCACGTGTTGACTTTTCCGAGTTGAGACTGGATCGGCTCGATTGGAATCGTGGCCCGACCCGGAACGCGATCGTCGACCGAACTTGAACCGAGCCGTGGATCGCTTTGTGCTGATTTGGCCGGCCCGCTTAGGCCTCTAAGCTCGAGAACGCCAGGTCTCTCATATTTGCCTCAAGGGGGGAGGGGACGATGGAATCCTCGCAGATACGCATTTTCGGGTGCAACGGTTCTGAATGAAGGGCATTCTGTGCAAGCAGACAGGGTGGCAAAGCGTGTCTTTAGCAGGGGAAACCGTGCAAGACATTTATTGGGTTGGAAAGAAAGTATTGCAACACTTTCTAAAACTATTTATAAAATTTTTCAAAGGAATGATGGGCGGGGCTTTGCATTTGTATATGCTGGAATGTTCTCGAAGCTTCTGCCCTCGGGGTATATGAGGCGGCTTCTGCCATTAGTTTGCAGCCATGGCTCCGATCGAACGAGCAACTCTTCGCCCCATCGTCTACTACGAGTTCCTCCAAGGACACTCTGCGAGAGCCGCCGCGGACAACATCTGCGCTGCATTCAAGGGCAACGTCGTCCACTATTCCACGGTGTCTCGATGGTTGAAACGCTTGGAATCTGGCGACACGACCTTCGGAGATCGACCACGCTCAGGACGTCCATCTACAGTCGATGACGAAGCCCTGCGGAACGCCCTCGACGCGAAGCCGAACGCCACCACTCGCGAATCGGCGACTACACTTGGAGTCACCCATATGGCCATCGGCAACCATCTGAACGACCTCGGCTATCGGAAGGTTTACTCGACATGGGTCCCTCATCGGCTCGGCGACTCTGACAAAGCAAGCCGTGTCGGTGTCTGCGAATCACTGCTCCTTCGTCCGCACAGAAAGGACCTTCTGAAGGAAATCGTTACTGGAGATGAGAGCTGGGTCCTCTACGTCGACCATACTCGCAAGAGTCAGTGGCTTCCACGAGGAGAATTGCCGCCACACGAACCGAAACCAGGGTTCCACGAGAAGAAGGTTCTTCTCTGCTGTCGGTGGGATTCAGAAGGAATGTTGTACTATGAGCTCCTGCCAACCGGTACCACCGTGACTGCCGTCGTCTACGCTGCTCGACTTCAGAAGTTGGCTGGCGTCATTCAAAAAGAGCGTCCCAAACGCGACAAAGTTCTCCTTCTGCATGACAACGCTCGTCCACGTGTTGGGAAGATGACTCGCCAGACGATTTCGGAACTGGGCTGGGAAATTTTACCCCATCCAGCGTATTCTCCGGACTTGGCCCCTTCCGACAATCACTCGTTCCGGGCCCTCAAGAATCACCTGCGGGACAAGACACAAGACGATCGAGCACAGCTCGAAAATGATGTCGGCCGTTTCTTCGCTTCGCAATCGCCAGAGTTCTGGGCAAAGGGCATCGAGCAGAGACCCGTGCGTTGGGAACATGTCATAGACAACAAAGGTCGTTACATTGTAGACTGAAATTGCATTTCAATAAAGTTATTAAAATTTGAAAAATTTGCGCAGAATGTTGCAAGACTTTCTTTCCAACCTTATACATCGGGAAATCTGAAACTCATAAAAACTTCCTATACGCCAGAAAAACCTCTTTCTTTGGGATGGGTTTTGCGAAATCGATGCCCAGCCATCTCTCATCCATAGGCATATACATAATAGGATGATATGTGTCAGGGTGACATTCCGAGGAAAATTCCTCTTAGACGGATGAACGGATTTTCACGAGTGAGATGTCAATCGTAAGCGTATGAGACGATACTTCCTGGATCTAAAGTCCAAAAAATCGTCCTATTTTCATGCGATGAGGCCACTTTTTGGCCTATAGGAATAGCACAACACCGAACGCTTTCCGGGGATGTGCTCACACGTCACGACTACCCACTCGACCCGAGACTCGAATGCTGAAGGTCCAAGGCCTGCTTTGTCCTTTCAGCTTCAGAAGTCGCGGTTTCAAATGACGCATTCTCTAGACTGACAATCTCGCTTCACGCCCGATGCACGGGTCCGATCGGTCCTATCGAGCCGATCCGCATCGCGACCGAGCTCAACATCTTCCCCTCTTCTACCGTGGTCTTCTGAAAATGAGAGTCACCTTAACGTTGAGAAGCGGAACTCGCTGAACATTTGCATAGAGGCGATTGGGGTTTCCCTATAGACGAAAAGCATGCCCTTATAATTGATCGAAAGCACGCTTTTTTCATATTTTTAAATCGTGTCCCTTTAGAATGCTATGCGGTGGAACTCATCGTTCCAAATGGGAAATTGTTCGTCTCTTCAGACGGGAACCGCCCTCTCGCCCCTCGATCTCATTACTGAGAGTTCCAAATATCGTTTTTGTGCGCCTCAGTCGTAGAGAGTGTATAAATGGAGGGGCCTCCCCTATGGCACGAGACGCTGCACCCTTCCGCCATCTTACTGAAGTCACTCGCGCAAGGAGTTGATAGCAGACACATGGAAAGGGGGAGGGCAAAAGAGGCAACTTGCCCCGGGCTATATGCCTGGGGACCTCCACGCCGGGACCAAGCCAATCACGTTACTCTTTCCCACGTGCTGGATCGTCCCGAGACGGCGGATGGCGTAACTCTCGAGGCATCGAAGCAAGGTATATAGATGCGAAGCATCAGGTTGTGACGACAGCTCAAATAGGCGCCATGTTTAGTCCAAGCCCGGCCTGCCTTCCCATTCTCTCCCTCCCTACAACCACGAATGTAAACATTTTTTGCTTGGAGCAAAGAGGGGGAAAACTCGAAAAATAGGCCTCTCGCCTTTCTCAATCGAGACTTCCCCTCTTTCACCTCAAAATGCGTCGATTTTCATGAAAGCGTGAATTACGGTCGTGACGCCATGACTTCTCCTTCTGCCTTATATCATTGCTCTTTTCATGCTCCATCAATAGTGGGTTGGTCAGGTTTCATGTCAGGCTGATTCATATGCCACTCTCATAAGGGCCTACCAGAAAACAACTGATGGAGTGGCAGATCTGTGCCTAGCATAGTACTGCAGGTGGCAGTTCCATCATCATCAATTTCATTGGATGAGAAAAGGGGCTATAAAATGCAGCTTTTAATGTGACATTCCCTTAATTTTAGTCACAACTCATCACATAGCCTTGCTCATTGTGAATTTCCCCTCAATCCCCTCAAGAGTACAGCTTTTTTCATCTTGATTTCAGCTTGAAGGAATCTATCTTCCCTAATTTGGCTGCATTAAAGAATTAAAAATAATGTTGATGTTGCTACAGAGACGAAGGGTTTCTTGAACAGCAGACTGTTTTATATAAGAATTAAATCTGACAGCAGCTAGTACCGGATAAGGTGCATATAAATTCCTTGACAGTTTGATTTTTAAAGAAGCAATTTTTCCTATATTCCAAAAAATATTTGTAAGTGTGATGCGAGGGTGTCTTCAGTTATTAGAGACACTAAGGGGGTCCCAAATTCTCATGTCATAGATAGATGTCACCTTCTTGGTAGGATATAAATAGGAACAACATGCTTCCTAATGAGGAGTGTAATGGATCTGCAACACTCTGATGCCCTTAAGACATCTACATGATGCAATGCATCCCTGCAGTTCCAAACTTTCTTTCCATACTACAATGAACCCTAAGGAGCCCCACACTTGGTTGTTAATGGATCGCTTTAGAAGCACTGATGGTAATTCTCTGTTGGCTGTTCTTCGGGCATTTACAGACTTTTTGAGGACATTTC